CTGTACAGTAAAAGGTGAGGAAGAATAGCAGCAGGCCGGTGACCAGGTTCCCGAGGAAGGTGACCAGTCCGCAGGTGATGCCTTCAGGGACCGGGTACACAGTCTCGATGAAGAGCTCGAAGAATATTGGCACGCTGCTGTTAATGAAAATGCCCACCAGGATGCAGGAAGTGTAAAGGATGGCTGTGAAAGGATACAAAAAAAAGATAGTTCAACAACAATAAGTCACAGTTTAATTAGGAGCTGTGATGGAATATGGGAATCAAATCCCACGGGAGCAACTCTTTTTAAAAGGGATGGCACACCCATCAGGTTTATGCAACAGCAGAGGTGATTTACGGCTTCCTGCTGAACCATTTGTTCTCAGCAGCGCAGATTTATGAACAACCCTCAACCTGAAACAACATTTCATTTAGAATCCCTTAAGGTGGCAATTTACCAGACACAAAAACAAAATATTGTAGGTGTACGGATGGAAAAAAGCCAGCTGGCAAACAAAACAACATCCTTCCCGAACGCCACCCTCACCTTTCACCATGCGCTTCAGTTTATATTGGTTATCAGTAATGTATATACAGTTGGAGAAAGTAAGTACATTTACTCACTGTACTTAAGGACAATTTTGAGGTATTTAAGCCTTACTTGAGTATTTCCATTGTATGCTTTTTATACTTCTACTACATACAAATTTAGAGGAAAATATTCTACTTTTTAGTCTTTACATCATAAGTTACTTCAGTTTTCTAATATTAACAAAAAATATATATCAGCTTAGAAATGATGATGTTTTATTATGGATTCAGAATACATGGCAGTTTAAAACCAGCTGCAAAATTAAAGTGATGAAGACATCACCAAATACAATCCAGCAGAGGTGGGACCAAGTCATGTGACTCGAGTCCACACCTCTGCAATCCAGTGATATAGTAAACATTCATTAGGACATGGGCCCTTCTGCTCAGCAAATATTTAGAGTGTTGGTACTTAAAGTGTGTTTTGATGACATTTCTCAGCAGTAGTAAGTAAAAAAGTGATTGCAGGACAGAGTATTTTCTACACTGTGGTATTACTACTTTTCTTAAGAACAAGATTTGAGTTCGTACCAAGAAAGCATCAACGTTTAAAACCAAGCACTTCTTATAACACACTACATTACGAGAGACTTTTTAAATGAACTATCATTTCACTTTTGGTAATATATTGCTCTTTTTAGGTCACAGAATTAAGATGCAACTCATGTCATGGATTGTACACTATATTAAAAAAGTAATGTCTTAATCTTTTGCCAAAATGTGTATACATCCCATATATAAGCATGGTACTGCTTGTTTAACTTGTTCTTTAACAAATCAACCTCCATTTTGATTCTCGACAAAATACATTAAGTCAAACGCTTTTAATGACCCATGTCTCGAGTCAAAAGCTTTGATATTTCCACCTCATATTGACCCCCTCACATGCTCGCTGTGTGTGGATCTGATCCCAGCAGGTGGGGCCTGAAGTGAGACGTGTGAGAGTGGATGTTCTCCCAGATTAAGCCATCACCTCTGGAGCATCACGGCTCCCTCCATCTCCCTCCATCTCCCTCCATCTCCCTCCATCTCCCTCATCACAGCAGATTGGTCCAAACGAGCTCCCATTAGCCTGCACGTCCCTTTAATCTCAGATCCTCCGGGGTCCTCGCCGCCCCCCTGCCCGTCTTTATTCCCCTCTAATGAAGCTCTGATATCTAACACTCATGGCGCTCTAACCATCTTATCGAATAAGGTTATCTGATTCCCAGAAGGCAGAGAGATTTGTCTTTGGAGGAGAACATGTGTTGATCACAGCGGCAGGGGAACATGGGATGTGTCTTGTTGGCTCCAAGAGAAGATTTGTTTTTCTTAGAGAAAGTATGTTGGGGCAGAGATGCTTTTTTTTAAGGTACAGAATGTCATCCTATATTCTTAAATGTTCTTATATGCAAGTTTTTATCTTATATGTTTAAGTATGGTTTCTTAATGTTTAAAGGTGGGGTAGGTAATTTTGGAGAAACCGGCTCGAGTGCGCTAGAATTTGAAAATACACAACCGGAGAAAATCTGCCACTTCCTTACAGAGCCCCTCCTCCAACACACACGAACGCGCACATGACCAATGAGGGCACGAGATAAGTTTGTGCACAGATGGAAGGCTGACAGGCAGGTAGGCCATCCAGTTATTTTAGCCGGGCCGGCTCAGATGATTGGTCGTGCTTTTTACAGTACCACGGCTTCCACAGATGACATTTTTTTATGGATTTTTTGTCAAAGCATTTAATGTATTCATTGCTATCGGGATGTTAAGAGCATTCCATGGAATATAACAAAAAGTGTATCTCGAACCGGCCTACCCCACCTTTAAAGGTGGGGTAGCCTGGCTCACTGGTGTGGGGTCGGCGAGACAGCGAGACACCGCGGGTGTGTGTGTGTTTCGGGCTGGGTTTCGCTGTCTCGCTGACGGCCACTGGGCTCACAGAGAGGGGGGGGGCAGGAGCTCCAACAAGCCGTTTAGGACAGAGAGTGAATACACATACTATGCAGAGATGCTGTATGAGAAACCAATGTGAGTTTGGAAAATTGCACAATATAAATGTATTCTAGTAGACCTCAACAATGGAATTATGATCAGTAGAAATGGCCATGACATGGGACCTTTAAGTTATTCACAGAGAGGTGCCATAATGCTACTTAGCCCAAGTTCATTATTTGTATTATTATTATTTGTTTACGTCACTATTATTTGTTTGTTGAGCACTTCCGGTAATCGTCACATGGGTGTGGTTTGTTTATATAAGTCACCTGTTTCATGTCGAGTGCGGATGACAGAGGGTGAGCTTGTGCTGTCATTTTTTCTGTTGACCGTTTTGTCCGTAGTTACTGCGTTTTGATTTAGTTTATTACATTTCGTAAAACTATCTTGCTTCAGTATGGACTTTCTCTTTGTAAACGCGTCGCAGCTTATAGCCAAGCTTAGCCTCTCGGTGACTCAAACTGAACTGGAAATTGAGCCGCCACAGAGAGCATAGATTACACTGATCTGTGTGTGAGCTACTGACCATCCCATACCCAGATAATGAGGTGTGTTGGCAGACTGCATCCCCCTCCTGTATGTTATGGCAGGTGGATGAAGCTAGAGGAGTGTGAGACAGAAAGAGAGCAGAGCCAGGACTCACAGAATGATGATGGATGATGATGATGATGATGACGACTGGTGCTGGTAGGATTATTGTTTTGGAAACAGTCCACTGTTGGGTTAAACACTAATGGATTGCTTCTGCTAAATAGGTACCAAATACACCTACATATATGCAGTGTGTAAGTATTTTTTTTTATCGTCTTGGCTTTGTACTCAAGCACTTGAAATCAAACAGTAACTACATAGTTTAAGTGGCAATTACAAAGGGGGACAAAGGCCGACAAAGGAACATGTATATTATCCTGGAGGCTATATAATGTGATGGATTTCTCCGTGCAAAATGACAGCACTTAACAATAACTACTTTAAGATGGTAGGAGTAAGAAAGGCCTCTCATACAAGTGTTAATGTTAAAGGTAGGAGATGGAGCATTTATGTATATGGATCTATTATAAGTAATGCCTGGCAATCATATATTATGACGCAAGAATAAAGGGTATGCATACCCACAAGTTATTTGTTCAACTTCTAATGTCACAATCTGTCAGTGTTTCCCGTTTTATTTTGAAATGTAGTCATCCCGTCTTTTGTCTGTTTCTTCCTCTCTGTGTTTCCCCACCTGTTTGATTATCAGATCCTTTCCACTCGTGTTTTCCCCGCGCTCTCTAGCTGTGTCTTATCCTCACGATTGGTTCTGCATGTATTTAGGTTCTGGTTTTCTGTCACTGTTTGTCAGATCCTTCATACAATAGTACTGTTCGTTTTGCCTTGCCCTGATCTCAGTAGATTACCTGCCATTAAAAGGTTTTTTTTTTGCAAACGATTCAACGTACTGCATTTGCTCTACTCCTCTCACCTGACATCCAATCCCTTATACATTAGGAAGTCAAGCATGACAAATCCAACACCACCTCTGGCTGGCAGAGAACTCACTGATACATAGCTTTTCTTTGGATAACTCGACACACTGTGCGTTTCACATTTATATTTAATTCAACACACTTAAAGGTGGGGTAGGTAATTTTGGAGAAACCGGCTCGAGTGCGCGAGAATTTGAAAATACACAACCGGAGAAAATCTGCCACTTCCTTACAGAGCCCCTCCTCCAACACACACGAACGTGCACATGACCAATGAGGGCACGAGATAAGTTTGTGCACAGATGGAAGGCTGACAGGCAGGTAGGCCATCCAGTTATTTTAGCTGGGCCGGCTCAGATGATTGGTCGTGCTTTTTACAGTACTACGGCTTCCACAGATGATATTTTTTTATGGATTTTTTGTCAAAGCACTTAAGATATTCATTGCTATCGGGATGTTAAGAGCATTCCATGGAATATAACAAAAAGTGTATCTGGAGCCGGTTTCTCAAACTTACCTACCCCACCTTTAATGTAAATAATATCCTGCTTTATGTTGTGTCTAAAGCCCTTTAAAAGTGTTTTATTGTCAGAGTTTATAGATTATTTATCTCCACAGTCTACTGTATATTTTCAACTTTTTTAACGCTGTTTTAATTCTATTTTGAGATGCGTAATTTCTAGTATTTTTTATTTCTACTATTTCATTTCTACTTAAGTTTAATGCCTTGTTTTAGATGTATGCTGCTGCAGCGCAAAAATGTCCCAATTTGGTATCAATAAAGTACCTCTTATCTTATCTTATCTTATCATCAGATGAAAGTGTGAACACTCTCTACAGATAGATATACCTACTATAGATAATTGGCTTGAAATTGTTGAGGATATTCAAGAGATGGAAAGATTGACCTTCCTGCTAAGATTGGAAAAATATTTGTACTTAGCCAGATGGAAAAAATGGTTGGTGTATCTGCTGGAATAGGACTGGAGGTCGTTGATGTGACCTCTCATCCTCTCATAATTTGACCTCCATACGAGGAGCTGTTTACTCTGACGACATAAATTAAAATGTTGGTGTGCTAAACGAGAACCCACTCTTATTTTTTTTTTGAATTTTCTCTGTATCCCTGAATACATTGTACATTTTTTTGTTGTCTAACTGATGTAAGTGCCTGGCTTCGTTTTGTAATGAAAAAAGTCTTAAATAAAAACTATGTGTCAAAAAAGTGTGCACACTCTCCTGCATTTGGCAACCAGAGACTGACCCCTGATCTGCCCACTGAGATGGATTCACTCTCTGAGTCGTTCTGCCGGCTGCTCTGACTGCAGGCAGAGTAAAGTAAAGTCACCTTGACAGTGAGGCTGCTGCGGACCTACCTGCGGTGGAGGGGAGGTGAGTGAATGAGCTCAGACAGGTGAGAGTGAACCAGGTGGAGGACAGAGAGGCTCCTGCCAGCATCAGCACCAGGATCAGCTTCAGCATCCCCCGAATGGAGTCTGCAAACCTGAGAGCAGGTGGGAGGAAGCAGGAATGTTCATTTATAAACAGACAGCTATAAGACAGCTAAATAAACGTCTTTTTAGATGAGCTTTTCAATACCGACACCCACTTTTAAAGGTCCCCTATTATACTGTTTTTCATCAATATATTACAGGTCTCAGATATATACAAGACATGTCTCTGATTGGCTGAAACACCAAACAGATCATTGCAGCATCCCATAATCCCCTCTGTTTCAGCCCAGTTTCCAAAGAGCTGATTCTCTGTCTGTTACTTTAGATGAAAATAAGGAGCCCCTCCCCACGCCCCTCTGAGAGAGATTTGGTTACAAAGAACTCAATGGTGCTCTAGGAGGAGATTCAGGTGATAAGGTGGGGGGGGGGGGTTACCTTGGTTGCTGATTGGCTAATGGGTACACAAGACAAAACATCGTGATGACATCATAAAGTGGCCAAAATCTGATCAGCTCATTTTCAGACAGGTTTTTATAGAAATGGATCAGGACAAAAAGAGAGAGAATCTTTGTTCCTGAAACGTTCAGAGTCTCTTTCCACAGAGGGGACACATGTTGATGAAGAAGAGACATGAAGAAGAGGGGACACATGTTGATGTAGAAGAGACATGGAGAAGAGGGGACACATGTTGATGTAGAAGAGACATGGAGAAGAGGGGACACATGTTGATGTAGAAGAGACATGAAGAAGAGGGGACACATGGTGATGTAGAAGAGACATGAAGAAGAGGGGACACATGTTGATGAAGTAGAGACATGAAGAGGAGGGGACACATGTTGATGTAGAAGAGACATGAAGAAGAGGGGACACATGTTGATGTAGAAGAGACATGAAGAAGAGGGGACACATGTTGATGTAGAAGAGACATGAAGAAGAGGGGACACATGGTGATGTAGAAGAGACATGAAGAAGAGGGGACACATGTTGATGCAGAAGAGACATGAAGAAGAGGGGACACATGTTGATGTAGAAGAGACATGAAGAAGAGGGGACACATGGTGATGTAGAAGAGACATGAAGAAGAGGGGACACATGTTGATGTAGAAGAGACATGAAGAAGAGGGGACACATGTTGATGTAGAAGAGACATGAAGAAGAGGGGACACATGTTGATGTAGAAGAGACATGAAGAAGAGGGGACACATGTTGATGTAGAAGAGACATGAAGAAGAGGGGACACATGTTGATGTAGAAGAGACATGAAGAAGAGGGGACACATGTTGATGTAGAAGAGACATGAAGAAGAGGGGACACATGTTGATGTAGAAGAGACGTGAAGAAGAGGGGACACATGTTGATGTAGAAGAGACATGAAGAAGAGGGGACACATGTTGATGCAGAAGAGACATGAAGAAGAGGGGACACATGTTGATGCAGAAGAGACATGAAGAAGAGGGGACACGTGTTGATGTAGAAGAGACATGAAGAAGAGGGGACACATGTTGATGTAGAAGAGACATGAAGAAGAGGGGACACATGTTGATGTAGAAGAGACATGAAGAAGAGGGGACACGTGTTGATGTAGAAGAGACATGAAGAAGAGGGGACACGTGTTGATGTCGAAGAGACATGAAGAAGTGGATTTAGCATAATAGGTGACCTTTAATGTAATGTGACGTGTGCCTTGTTGTTAAAGCACTTTGAGCTGCACCTGGTGTATTGAAAGTGCTGTACAAATAAAAGCTTTATTATAATGATAAAGAAAAAACACAACATATTGAAGATACTGATCCTGAAACACAAAGTGAGACGAGACAGAAGCTTCAGAAACAAAAAGGCGTCTCCTCATTTCCAAACGTCTGCTTCCTCTGTGTCCTAATCTGTTACTGGAGACATGCATTGTTTTGCAGAAAAGCTAGATCATGTCCTGTCTCCCACTTGTTCCTGGATGCCTCAGTTGTACTTGTCATCACACGAGCAGGGACACTTCTCTGAAAGTTGATTCAATTTGTTTCAGCAGCTAAGCAGGACTTGAGAGGCACATTGTAATATATCGTTGAAGACAAGCCACTGGGCCATTCCCAAACTCTGTCTCTTTGGAGCACTGTGGTTTCTCTTTGTAGCCTTTTGCTAAACCTTCAGAGTTCATTAACTCCTCTCTGCTCCTCTGGGTATGCATATGTACGCTCGTGAAAGATTAGATGAAGCTACACACGCCCCAAAGCAATAGAAAGACACTAATTACTTTTGTTTTGTTGCTCTCAGACAAGATGCTTGAGAAAGAGAAGGCTGAACTCGACAATGAACTTAATGCAAGAATAAAAAACAAGTGTTGGAAATGGCTTATTAGTTCAGCTAGGTGATGAAAGGTTTGTCAGCATGCCGAGGGCCAGGGGAGGAGGGAGATCATCCTGTGGACGGATAATGAGAACATCTCCACTCAGACATTCCACGTTCGCATTTTAAGAAAACATCAATGTCTTCTGGGGTTCAATGGGCCGTCATTTTCTACCTGAGCCGTCATTTTCTGCCATCTACAGGTAACAGAGGATAACATGAGGAATATTGATGTCGGCATAATTCTGTTTTTAAGAACAAGCTGGTTGTAGGGTTAGACAATACTGCTAAGATCTTTCATCCCTGTAAAGGTGATAATATCATCTCCATTACAATATCTATCATGATATAAGCAGGGGTGCACATAACTTTCTTAGTGAGTTACTCAAATGAGTACTGTTAAGGAATAATTCTTCTAGATATCTAACCTTTTACTCTGACATGTGTTATCTCCTTTAAGGAAAGGCCTTGGTGCCATATGTGTTGTTGTCACCAGTGTGTGACCGGTCAACTTGTCTGGCACGAAGGGTAATTGTTGTGAGAACACTGAAGCACTTCTTTATCGGTGTTTGTGGGCTCTAGGATGTGAAATCCTTGAGGCCATGAGCGTCGGACGCAGGTGATTCAGTGTTTAGTCTACTCCTTCAGAGATGTTGATTTCTCTCTGTGAACCTGTTAAAAGGTCTAGCATAGAGAGAGGCTCTTCAGAATTGACGTGGCAACTCTGCCGTGTGGTCAGAACCTCTGACTCTTTGATTTGTGATGTGAATCCTCCGGCCGAATACTCTGAATAAACCCATCAGTGTTTGACATCAAAGCTCCAACTCTCACCGTGTCTCCTTCCTGAGTCGGTGACTCCATGCATTACTACACAGAAGTTTCCTCCACAAGTACCAGGAGACAATGTTTGGTACACAAGGTTATGTGTTCAGCCCCTCTGTTTCGCGAACGTCGACAGGGGGGGGTGTGGCTGGGGGTGTGGTATTGAACGTCGACGGGAGGGGTGTGGCTGGGGGTGTGGTATTGAACGTCGACGGGAGGGGTGGGGGTGGGCGCTAGTGGAGCACTCGCGTGGAACTCGCACCAGAAGTTGTGGCACAATTCCGTTGTACTCACCGACGTTAACAGCAGGCCCATCTGTGCACACGGCGACTGGCTCTGTCGTCCAGTGATCGAAGCGCCTTCTGGAAATGCTTCGCAAGTCCGCCGGTACGCAAATGCGCTTAGTGAGACAAGTGACGGTACGCATTTCAGATGTTTGCCGCGCATGCGTACTAGTTATGTGTACCCCTGGATATAAGCCTGTCTTCATGAATGAACTTTATAGGAATTCTGTATGAGATCACATTGCTTGTATATGAACTAAGATTAGTTTGAAAATGTTTCCAACTTTAATTGATTGAATTTATTTGAAAAGTGGGCACACATGAATACTGTGATACATATTTGTACATACATATTTCATTAGTACAATATATGACAAGCACAAGTTTAATTTGTGGGCCATATTTCATTATACTATTTGAATTAGCTGAGGGCCGATTCAAAATGGGCTGCGGGCCGCATCTGGCCCCTGGGCCGTAGTTTGGACACCCCTGTATTATGCTTTTGTGGTTTTTCCCTTTCCTGTAGTGTGTTATAGGTTTTGGTGCATGTAAATGGTCTGCAAAGGCAAAAATCCAAAAGTGTGTCTCCCACAAATTCTTTTTGAACATTAAAGCATGCGAACATGTCACAGTAGAGGCACAAGATACTAATATGAGCCTGAAAATAAGCAAAATATGTCATCTTTAAGACATTTTCACAAGTTCAGGCTTAGTTGTTATTCTCAGTTTAGACCTTGTAACTGTGTATCACGATATCCATTGAAAGACGATAAATTATCATACAGATTTATCGCCCTGCAGTCGCCGTTTGCACAGGAATAGGCAGTGTAGTCAGATGGCTAAATGTTTGCACACAGAGATGTCTGGTATCTCTGCCCACAGCTACACCCCTAAAAGCTGCATCACCCATCTGCCGCGGACTGGCTCAACCCTCCGTCCTCCTTTGATGCCAGAGAGGGAGGATACCCTGAACCCAGCCAAACCCTCATCAGTCTGCAGAGAATCACACACAACCCCCCCCCCGTATCAATCCCGATCAGAGCCTCTGAGCAGGAGAAACAACAGTAGCTTATTTTCTAAACTAAAACGAGTCCATTTGATCCAGAGCTTTGTTACTGATTGGCAAGATGAGTCAGATGCATGACGTGTTTAAATCGGCTTTGAAAACAACTGGCTTACAGTAGACAAATAGCAATTTAAATATACTATCATCAATATTTTTCGAAATGTGTAAAAACTAAACATGTTTTTAAAAGGTAAGGACAGCAATATGCTGACTATTACTTATTGTCGACATAAAAAACAACAATCAGTGCGACTAACAAGTCATACCTGTGTAATCAAAGCATTATAAACAGATCCCTATCCCACTATGCTAAACATATTACAATAAAAACGGTTATTTAACCCGGTTTTAGTAGTAAGGGTTAAAAACCACAGTGCCCATGTGCTTTAAAACCTTTCAAATATTCACGTCTTTTAATAGAAACAAAGGGGTTTGCCACTGACAGGGAAGGGGAGTCTGTTTGTTTAAATAATGTGTGGTTGTTTTGGTTGTTTCCATAGGATTTGGTCCCAATAAAAGACCCTCCACAGGTTTGCATGGC